TGCCCAGCTGGGAGAAGGTAGTCCAGGCTCGGCTGTGGCGCGTGGGCCCCACTAGCTGGTGGTCAGCCCGGCCCCGGGCGGCCTGGCCTCTGTGCAGCGGCTGCACAGTGCCCAGCGTGGCCCCTGGCCTGGGGTCCCCGCACGCCCTGCGCGCTGCCCGCAGCAGCCCTCACACGGGGAGCCCCACACACAGATGTGCACAGCTTGTAGGGGACCGGGTCTAGCTGGTGTGCTGCGTATGGCCTGGGCCGTATGATGGGGATCTCATCACCGGCCCTTACTGCCAATGACCACAGAGAAGTGGGTCTTTAAAATAAATCTTTCAGGTTGTTTTCCAAGAATTTCTGCAAAGTTCTCTGCACTACAGGCATTTTCCCCTTTAAACGAGACCCTGTAAAACTATAAAAAGACCCTGGCTGACGTCCCCATTGCCCAGTTTTCCTGTTAGCCTGTAGATGCGAGCGTCCGCCTTCTGTGGGTGCTGGGTGGCGAGGTGCGATCCAGAAATGTGCTCCCCGGAAACTCATGGTCTTGAAGACACAGTGGGACTCGCCCACCCCTCCGCCCAGCCCCAGCTACTCCAGTGGTGGCAAAAATGACAGTTGTCCCCTGGGAACTGAAGCTCATCGCTATGGTAACTAATGAAGGCGGCTTCATTCTAGGGCACATTTTTAAAAGCCTGAATGTGAACACAGGCAGACGCCTCGTCTTACTTACCCAGTAGCCTAGCAGCCTGTGCTGTGCCGTCCGTCCGCACCCCAGCCTCCCTCCACCCTCGGAAAAGCTGCCCACGTGGATAGCTTCCTACCGTGGGCGCGTTGTCACCCGCTTCGAGTCAGTTCTTAGGTGTGTTTGTGATGACTGTGTGCTCCCGGCCAGACGTCAGGACATTTTTTTAAACCTCTAAAGACAAGGGAACAAGTCTTTTTATATAATTTTATTTTTAGTTTGTAAAATTTATCAATTGCCCTTAATACATGTTGGTGTAAGGAAGGCAGACTAGTTAGTGAAGAGAGCCCAGAATTTAAAATAACTGCATCCACTCACTAGACAAATCCTCTACATTCTCTGGACCTTAGATTTTCATCTCTAAAGTATGACTTCTATTTCATTTCATAGAGTTACTGTAAGGATCAAATGTATATGCACAGTGTTTTAGGGGCTGTTATTTCTGGAGAATATTTGTTACTATTAAAACTAAAACTAATATCCTGCCACCCTTTTGAAACTGCATAGCTATTTTAAAAATCTTATACCTGTGCCTGCATGTGCTGGCTGCATCGATGTGTGCCTTTTCACGGGAATTGTTAGAAACACTATTACTTTAAGAATATAGAGAGAGCATCTTAAAATTCATGCATCTGAAAGACTGGGACCAGTGGCTCCTGGAGCATCACAGGATTGTGACAGCCTTGTGCTTGTAGCCAGGCGCTGCCTTTAGCTCTCGGCTCCTCCTGTCGTTGCTTCTCAGATGACCTGTAGTCACTTTAAACTCAGTATGTTGACAATGAAGCCCCCTGTGTTTTCCTACCTCCCTGTCCCTCCCGCATCAGGGAACAGTTCCGCATCAGGTCGTGGTTGAGAGAGCAGCCTCTGACGTCAGACCACATGGCTCCAAATGGTGGCTCTTGATAACCTGGGGTCCCTCTGTGCTCCAGAGCCCTGTCTGTGCATGAGATAATGAATGACATGAGTCCTCTGTGTGGGAGGCCACGTTGGGGATTTTGTTGGCAAAACAATCCTCTGAAAATCCCAGAAGACTTATTTCTGTTTGCTTGTAGTGGTATCCTTAGCAAATAAACTCTTCCAAACATCTGCTTTAGCTTAAGGCCTGTTGTGTGCTGCTCCTTGGCCTTGGTGCCCTTCCCGTCCCTCTCGGATCAGCCCAGCTGCTGCGAAGGAAGCAGGAGAGGAGAAGGAACCTGGTGGAGGGAACCGGCAGCCCCTGCCGCCTCGGACCAACATTTCTGGTCATCCAGCAAATATATGTTTGCCGTGTCCCATGCACTCCACCAGGCTCTGGGTAGACAGAGAGAATAAGAAAAGAATATTCTTTATCCTCATGCTATTTTCTAATGGGAGAATCAGATAATAAACACATTTGCAAGTAGGTAGATCGAATCACAGAATGTGCCCAGTGCACCGAGAGAAGTAAATAACGCCGCCCCTCAGGAGTGAGCCTTCCTGGACCTGCCTTTCCTCCCCACGTGGACTGGACGCCTTTCCTGCGTGGCCTTATGTGTGCATAAAGCTGCTCCCAGCTCCTCCCACTCACCGTGCTGGTGAAGTACTTACCTGTCTGTTCACGTGAAGCTCCTCCACCATGCCTGGCGTGGTGTGGCAGGTGCTCAGTACATGTTCAAGAAATGTATAAAGGAATGGATAAATGATTTCAAAAGCTTAATAATATGTTAAATAAAAATGAAGTAAAAGGTTATAATCATATGTTAGGAAGTAGTCTCTCTTCTCTTTTTTGGAAAGTCAGGTAGGATTCTCATTCGCTCTTCAAATGTTTGGCTGACGTCAGTAGCGCCATCTGGTCCTGCACTTTCATTTCTGCAGAGGAGTTCGTTTACTGATTCAATCTCTCTACTCGTCAGAGGTCTGTTGAGATTATTTCTTTGTGAGTCGGGTTTGGCTGATTGTGTTTCTGGGGATTTTTTCACTTAATCTAGATTACCAGATTTACTGACATATAATTAATTGTTCATAGTATTTTTTTGTGTAATCCTTTTCATTTCTTTAAGGTAGGTAGTAGTGTTCCCACTTTTCATTTCTGATTTTAATAATTTATGCCCTCTCTTTGTTCTATAATCAGTTTTGCTAAAGTTTTGTTAATTTTGGTGATCTTTTTCAAAGAACCAACTTTCTGTATCACTGATTTTCTTTATTGCTTTTCTAGTCCCTATTTTGTTTCTCTCTGAACTTTATTATTTATTTCCTTCTGCTGACTTTGGGTTTAGTTGCTGTTCTTTCCATGGTTCCATGAAGTGTAAAGTTAGGCTTTTGGTTCAAGATCTTGCTTCTGTTTTAATGCAGGCATTTTCAGTTATAAATTTCCCTCCGAGCGCTGCTTTCACTGCCCCTCATAAGTTTTGGTATGTTGTGTTTAAAGTAGTTTTTAATTTTCCTAGTGATTTCTTTTTTGATTCATGGATTGCTTAAGGTTATGTTAATTTCCTCATATCCACTATTTTTTTTTTAGTTTTTGGTTACTGATCTTAGTTTCATTCAATTTTGGTTGGAGAAGATGTTTGTACAATTTCAATCTATTAAAATACATTGAGAATCATTTTATGGCCGACCATATGGTGTGTTCTGGGGAACATCCCCATGCACGTCAGCGGAATGCGCGTCCGGCTGCTGTCGGGTGCAGTGTTCTCCTATGTCTGTTAGGTCTAGTGGGCTTATCATGTTGTTCAAGTCCTTTATTTCCCTTTATCCCTTCTGTCTGGATGTTCTGTCTATTATTGAAAGCAGTATATTAAAATCCCTGACTGTCATTGTAGAACTGTCTGTTTCTCTCTTCAGTTCTGTCAGAACTCATTCTGTCGCCGAGACCCCCCCCCCCATGACATTCTAGTTGGGTTTGCCGTGCTCGCATCCGCAGATGATGCCGCAGCTGGTGTAACGCACGGTGGAGCCTTCCTGGCCAGTGAGAACCCTGCGGTGGCCCCTCCCTGGTGCCTGGTCTCGAGGGCTCTGGCTCTCTCAGCCTCCCAGGCAGCTGCCACGTGGAACTTCTCCCACAGCCTTTGCTTCAGGACGACCGTGTCCCGAGGTGGGCCCCACGGCCAGCCCTCCCGCTTAGGAATTGGTCTCAGAGCTCATCATTGCTTGGCCATGTTTGGACAAACCCTCTCTGAAGACCAGTGGCCTGGCCTGTAAGCCTGTGGACTGATGTGGAGTCCCTGTGTGTGTCAGATGCTGCGTACCGCTTCATTCCCTCTTCACACCTACTTCCCTAGTGAGACCTAATGACTCCCCAGGCAGATGAATGCTTCCAGCGGATCAGGGCAAAAGGTCATGGATTTGGAGGGGCAAAGCAACAATAAAAATGATGATTTCCAAACACTATCACTATTACACATGTGTACATAGACATATGATGATGAATTTAAAGAGCTATATGTAATTCTAAATGTACACAAGCCTTAAATTTAAGGAATACAGGATCTTCATAGAGGCAAAGTGGAGCACCTACATGTACATTTATATGTAGTTTATATGTACTTAAGATACATTTGTATGTATGTTATATCTAGCTAAGATGTGTTACATATAAACGTGTGTGTGTGTGTGTATAATTAAGAATTTCCCATGCTGTCAACATTTCCCATGACTAAAAGTACTGATGTGACCTGTCCCGACCCGCGGGACGAACGTGGAGTGTAGCTGGAGACGCCTGCAGAAATGAAACAAGCAAGGGACACAAAGAACGACCAGCAAGACAGGATGTCTGATCAAGCTGGCACAGTTTATTGTTCGCAGGCTCAATTTATACAGGTTAACAAGGAAGGAGTGGGTCAGGAGATAATTGGACCTTAGGTGGCG